AGACACAGACACCAACCCCACTCCTGCCAGTGAAATGATGAGGCTTTGAGAGGTGGAGACGTGAAAACCCCAAAATGTGAAAGAGAATAAGAAAGGGCCCCAGAAATTTTTATTTGCCTGGAGCATTAAGTCATTATGGCTGTAATTACCAATCTAAGCATTTTAACAATAAGCAATCCCCCAATTTAATATCCCAATGTAAAAATGGAGATCTATTGAGTGGTTTGAGTTTTCTATGAGGTTGGATTTTTGTTTTCAGCCTGAGCACCAGAAAGCAGCAATAAACCCCTTAGAAATACAAATTCAGTGCTGGTTTCTCATCAAAAGGCAAGGAACAGCCTCATGTTGCCCTCCCAAAGATGAGTTTGTTCAACCCTAGTGGATTATCAGTGCTTGAGAGGGTCAGGGTTAATGGTTGGCAAGATGACCTTAGAGGGCTTTTCCAACCTTAATGATTCTGTGATTCTAAATAAGCCTGAGCTCAGCTGAGCTGGCAGCTGGGTTTATACATCACCTACATACATCACCAGCCCCTCTGCACTATGAAGACCTATGATTTTCCAGCTAAAATTGCTTTTCCTGCTTTGAGGGCATTGCTCCTGGCCTGGGAAAGGTTCTTTTTCCCCAGGAACAGCTGATGGGGAAAATGGCAAACACGAGAGCCATGCCAGAGAGTGAGTGTTCATCTCTGAGTCACAGGGGAAATGAAACAAGAATTTGTGCCGGCTTTTAACTCCATGAAATACTTTAATCCGTTTGCATTGCCCATCCACAAATGCAGATCTTAAGTCTGGAAAGTCCCAGCACTTGGAGGCATTAACATGAGCTTGGTTAAGCTTTAGACCGGCTCTTCAGAGAGAAGATGCCTATTTTAGAATGTGTGGCTTAAGACAGCTCAGGAAAAAAGGGCTCTGGAGCCAGGCTGGAAGAGCTGGGGGGATTCAGCTTGGGGAGGAAAAGTTTGCTCTTCTACATGCCCAGACTCCCAGGAATGGCACGCAGGGCTGGCCATGCTCAGAGCACCTCTGACTCACCTGCTGTGCCACGCTTGGCTGCTGGCGGCGGCGTGTCCCGACTCAGGCTGGAACAGGACTCGGAGCCCTCCGAGGTGGGAACGCCCTGGGGCGGCCCCGAGCTGCCCTCCCGCCTCTGGCTCCAGGACAGCACCTGGGATACTCATCGGTGTGTGTGGGACACCACAACTCCGTGGTTGCACAGGCTGAGATGAGCCTTGTTGACACAGAGCATCTCTGTGTGCCAGGTGAGATGGATTCACCAGAGGGAAACACTGCCTGGGAGTGCGGGTTGTCCTTGCCGGGATGTGGGAACATTTTTTGTCTTCTGAGCATCCCTTTTCCCATCACATTTCCCAGGGATAGGCTGTCCCTTGGACCAACCTGCTTCTGATCTTGCTGAGACCTAAAGAGAGCCCTTTGTCTTACCCATGTTCTCATCAGCCCTCTGTGGCATCCCCACTCCTCCCCAAGGGTCTACCCACTCCTCACTGGCATCCTGGGGACACCAGGTGACATCAAGATGTCATTGGGAGGTACAGGGACATGGCCTAAGTGCTGTCCTCTAACAGCAAGAAGTGACTGGGCAGCTGGGAGGAGAAGGGATGTGAAGGGTTAACAATAGCTGGCTGCTAATCCCACACATGCAATGTCCCACTGCAGCTGCACTCGGGAGATCCTCTTCTTCATGCTCCAGGGAGTCCTGGAGGGCCAGAACAGGCTCAAGAGCTCTTTGAACAGCCCCATCACTCCTGTAACCACCTGCGTGGTGGAATGGGAATGCTCAGGGAGTTTGGGAGCAGAACCAGGTTGGGGAGCATGGTTGGGGTGAGAGAGGCAGAGCTGATGGAGGAGCTGGAGAGGTCCCGCTGGGGAGTAGGAAAAGCTCCATCCTTGGAGGCAGTCAAGCCTGTCCTTGACAAAACCTGACCTCACTAAAGGTCAGGCTTGGAGCAGAGACCACAGATAACATCCCACCCTCATTATTCTGAAGTGGCCAGGACGTGGTGCAGAGCTCATGCCTCAGTTCCTGTAGATGCTGCTCCCACAATCCTGCCCCTTATGCTCTGTCTCACTGGGGTTTAGGGTTTCTCAGTGGGAGCTGAATTTCAGAGCAGAGGGCACCCAGAAGATTGGCAACAAACTTCCCACAGACCCTAAAACCACGTTGGTGTGAGATGATCCTGTCCCACCTCCTCATGGCCTCATGGAATAGTTTGGGCTGGAGAGGACTTTAAAGTTCACCTAATTCCACCATCCCAGATTGCTCCAAGCCCTCTCCAGCCTGGCCTTGCACACTGCCAGGGATTCAGAGGCAGACACAACTGCTCTGGGCACCCTGTGCCAGGGCCTGCCCACCCTCACTGGGAAATAATCTTTCCCAATATCCCACCTGACCCTGCTCTCTGGCAGTGGGAAGCCATTCCCTGTGTCCTGGTCAGCATCAGGACTGAGCCTTGCCCAGCTGCTGCCATCCCTCTGTAGCCATGGGCAAGGGCAGGAAGCCCAGAGCCAGGGTGGTGAGGAGGAATCCACTGATCAGGGATTCCCAAACCCACACTGCTGGCCCTGAGGGACAAGGGAAGAAACAGAGCATTGTAGCATTGTCTCCCAAAATAGCTGTATTCCTCCTTACAAAGGAAAGGTCCATGGAGTGCCAGTCTGCCGAGGTTTCCTCCTGCCACAGGAAGGTGAGTGACTCACTCCTGTGTAAACTGGAGGCAGTCCCTCTCCCTGGTGATTATCTATCTGGAGAGAAATCTCCATCCACTTCCCTTGGAAAGACCTGCTCCCGAAATTATCTCTGCCTGGACTTTTCTTATCAGATGATCTATTTGTTCTAAAAATCACAGAGCCCTGAGGGTTCCGTCTGTGGCTCCAAAACTTTGCCCTGGCCACCCCATGACTGACTCATGGAAAGGGACAACTTGGACAGTCCCCATGCCTGGAATCATCAGGAAACACCTGCAGGCTCTTAGCTAAGGGAAGGATCTTCCTCATGGGGTTTCCTAACCAGGAAGAGGTAGATCCCAGTGATGACGAGATTCTCTTGTTTCTGCACGAGTCTGTGGGTTGGTTTTAATGACAGCTACCAGCCCGAGGTGAGAGTGATTAAATGTCACCAGCTGGAGGGTTCAGAGTCCAGACTTGCTGGATTCCATGGAAGGTTGCAGGGTGAAGTTCATGTGGAAGCCGAAAGAAAGGGATCAATAAAACTCCCTGTGACTCCCTCAGTTTGTGACATAGATCCACGGCTCAGGGCAGTGGAGCCACAGGAGACCAGGTCACGGTGCTGCTCCATCACTGATGTGTTTGGGATCCTTGGATCCCAAAGGACCTGGCTGGAAATGACCTCAGGAGGTCTCAGTCCAACCTCCTCATCATGGCAGGGGCAACTCTGGGGTCAGACCAGGTTATGCAGGGCTTTATTCAGTTGGGTCTTGGAAAGCTCTGAGGACACAGCTTGCACAACCTGGTTGTGGTGGAACACTTTTCCCTTCTCCTCAGCCTGGAATATCAGTGGTGTCCATGTCAGCAGTGCTGCCAGGATAATGAAGACTTCCTCAAAGAGGTCTGTTTGCCAGGAGAAGAGAATGAAGGCAGCAGTTCCAGGGAGCACCACCATCACCTCTCCTGGAAAAGCCCTGCTGACACCAGGAGCAGCCCTGGGAGATTTGGGGAAGGAATGATGCTGGTGTGAAGGTTTGTGTCTCTGCAGAGGACACACTGCAGGTCCCACTGTCCTTCCCACCTCCTGTGCCACAGACTATGGACTCCTCTTTCCCTGGGGACAATGGAATTTCTGCTCCCCTTCCCTCCTTCCTTGCCCACACTTCCTCTGCTCCTTAGGCACAACTTATCCCTTCATTTAGAGATGTCTCACTTATACCCATTTCATTAGGCACTCAATTACTCTCCTCTTGTATTTAACTTGGAAACCCTTTCCTGTCATTCCAGGACTTGTTTGGACAAAAACCAAGTGCAGGACCAGCTGTAAGAGCTGCTCAAACACACTCGATGCCTCCAAAGCTTATTTCGCAAACTTGGACTTCCCAGGACTGCTTGGCTGAGGGCTGGGAGCAGATTTACACAGAATTAACCATTTGACCAGGGGGAATTGGCTTCTGTTTAGCTCAGAATTGTCCACAGCTCCTTGTCCAGCTCACAGAGCATGCTGGACCTGGCCCTGGTGACAGGCACACTCGTGGCCAGGGGATCTCCAGCACTGGGACTGCACAGCCAGCATCCCGAGGCTTTTGCTCCACATTGGTCCCAGCAGGGATCTCGAGCCAAGGAGGCTCTGGATTAATCTCTGGAACGTGACCTTTACATGCTGGGAGTGGTGGGAGAGATATTTTAACTGCAGTGGCACAGGTCCAAAGAAGAAACACCAGCCAGGCCCTAGATAACAATATTGGCCTCCTGACAAGGACTCCAGCTGGGAATGAGCCTCAGGGCTGGTCTCCCTTTTCCAAGTGGGACAAATCCATGTGGACCCAGTTTCCCACCTTCCCTCTCTGCTCCTGCCAGGAAAACAGGGCCCACAGAACTCTGCACTCTTGAGGGTGGGCTTCAAAAGCCTAGGTTGGGTCTAATTGGTATGTTAAATGAAAAAATACAGGAAAATGCAATTTTAAAACAAATAATGATGATAGAGGGGTTTTAAAATGGAGAGCTGAATTGCATCCATCCTCTGCAGGGAGGTTTTCCTGCCCAGGGCAGTGCTGGTGTCCCCATCCCTGGAGGGATGTAAAGCTGCGTGGATGTGGCACTTGGGGACATGGATCACTGGTGGCAGTGCTGGGGGAATGGTTGTACCTGATGGTCTTAAAGATCTTTTCCAGCCTCAATGATTCTGATACTTTTATTGGCAGTTGAAGCAGATCTAATGCTGGTTTTCTTCCAACTGGGTTTGTATCCATGGGGAAACTGCTAAAGGACAACTTGAGTGTAGGAGGAGGTCACCAACCTTCTCCCAAAGGGCAGGAAGCAGGATGGGTCACCCAGGAGGATTGCTGGGACATTGGGAAGGTGTAATGGTGCCCTCTCCATCCTCACCCCTCCCTCAAATCCCCACATGATCAATTTGGGCTCTAAAGAGACGCTCGTGTGACTCTTTTACCCCTCCAAAGTGAATTTCAAATAAAATTTTTCTGAAGTGAATTTAGATGGACATCTCCGAGGAGGCTCCAGGCACGGGCTGGGCTCATTGGGGCTGAGCAAACCTCCTGTTTTCTGGGCTGAGCTGGGTAAGGATCACCCTCCTTGTGTGGCATCCACAGGGAGCAGCAGCTTTCTGGGGTCCAGGGCCATACCCGGGGGTGTCCCAGCCTCAGGGAATCTCCCTGAGGACACAAGAGTTGTTTTGGAGCAGAAGGGGAAGGAAGTGATTTCAAAAGCCCCGTAGTGAGAACAAGTATTTTTGTTTGAAACAAAGAGGGTGGGACCCTGTGCTGGTCTCCATGGTCTCACTGCTGGGAGCTGAGAGCAAAAATAATGCAAAACAAAACTACTGGAAAATGGCTTTTCCTCCAGCACCAATGGGAACTTGCTCCTGAGCCTCTCTGTGGCTTTCCTTTGCTGTGGATTTCAAGAGGATCAGGTAAAATTTGGGAGACATGGGATGCTATGGTGGCCCTGCCACTCTGTCCCTTGAACCAGTCTGCAGCTGGAGCTGGATTTAGATCCATTGTGGTGCCAGGCTGTGTTTTCACCCCCAGGCTGAGCTGCTGGTGGGTCAGCCAAACAGTAACCCCCACAAAATTTGGGGATGATTGGACCCCACAATCCAGCTGTCCATGCCCATTGAATCCCACCAAGCTGCTGCCAGGAGTCCAGGCATGGCTGGGACCACTCCTGCACAGCTCCTCAGCAGCTCTGCAAAGAGAGAAATGAGGAGAAAGGAGCCTCTCTCAGAACAGCCTCTCCTACAGCACTATTTTAGCCTGGGACCATTATGTGGATGGGTTGCTGCTGCTGCTTTTAGGAGGACTTGATTTGAGGACATGTATTTATTTGTGTTATTGAATGCCAGGATCAGTGCAAAACCTCCTCCAGCAGCAAGTTCTGTCACCCAGGACACCTCTTCCAGCAGCTCCTGCTGTTGCAATTTGCTCAAACTCTCTTGAATAAAACCTTGAATGGGTTTGATTGTTTAGGTTTTTTTTTTTTTTAAATCAGTCTTATTTACTATTTTCTAGGCAGTCCCAGAGGAAGAGGAAATGTCATGAAATTTGGCAGAAAACTCAGCATTTCTGCTCCTAAGAAAGCCATCAGTGGGGTCAGCAGAAGCAGAGATGACCCTGCCAGAACTGAGCTCGTTGAGTTTTATGACTTTTTGTGACCCCTTCCCCCCCAACACCTCCCTCCCTGCAGGGGCTGCAGGGCAGAACCATATCTGGGAACCCACAGCACACATAGCCCGAGCCCATGAGCTAATTTTAACACACGTGCCCTGGTGTGAAGTGTTTATTTATTCCTAGTCATTATAGAAGCAACACTTTTGGCCACAACAGGATGCTTGTGTTTTAGGGCCTGGCAGGCACCTCCTGCTGCCTAGGAGGTGATGGCAGCACCCCTTGCCCTCTATACAATCATCATCTTGAGGGGGGAAAATGCACTTGGAGTCTGAAAACCCATCAAAAAATACTGGGTAATGGAGGAGCTCAGAGGAAAAGTGAGTGGCACCCCCATCACCCTCCTGATGGTAAGAAGGGGAGAAACATCACAAGCGCTCAGTGAGGAGGAAATGAAAGCAAAGCTAAAAAAAAAAAAAATCCCCAACCGCTGGTGGAGAAGAGAAAATCCACACCCAGACGGCCACAGCCGCAAAGCACAGCTCTCCCTGCACTGAAGAAATGTGCTCAAGGCTCGCTGCTTGCAGCTGCTTGCCCCAGAGAGCACCAAGTGCCTCGGGTCTCCTTCAATTCCCTCTTCCCCAGAGAGCAGCAGCCTCAGACAGCAAAGGTCCCCTGTGCCCTGTCTGCGCCCATTTCCCAGCTCCTGTTAAAGGGATTAGTGGGAAAAGGGAGCAAAGTGTCACTCTGTGCTCAGCACCCACCCAGCACCTCCTCCTGGGTGCTGCAGCCTCAGAGGTGGCAGAGGAGATTCCCCAGAGCATCTGCACATGAGGGATGGACAGAGGGACCAGCTCCTGGTACAGACAAGAGGAAATGGCCTCAAGTTACACCACGGAGGCTTAGATTGGATATTCAGAAAGGTTTCATGACTGAAAGGGTGGTCAGGCATTGGAACAGGCTGTCCAGGGAAGTGGTGGAGTCACAGTCCTTGGAACTGCTCAAGAAATGTGTGGATGTGGCACTTGGGGATGTGGTTTAGTGGCAAACACAGCAGGGCTTGGTTAGAGTTGGGCTCCCTGATCTTAGAGAGCTTTTCCAGCCCTACAAATTTCATCACTCTATGTTTTCCAGCCCTAGCTCTCACCTCCAACCAACCCACCCTATTTTGGAGCTCACCTGGCTGCTGGGAAGGTGCTCCCATATCTCTCTGCAGCCTCATCTGACCTCATCTCCAGCACACCCCAATGGCACCATGAACAGAGGTTTCCTTCTCCAGCTGCACTGGCTTTTGCTGCCCCTTGAAAGTTGTTGATGATTCTGAATAAGAACATCCTGGAGGGAGAATTCAGGCATCCTGGGAAGCTGCAAAATCACATCTGCTCCCATGGGATGTCCCTCCTGCAAGTCCAGTCTCACAAGGGCAGGTTTCTGTATCCATGAGGTGACTGAGCACCTTTCCAGCCAGGACACCTCGAGAAATATCAAGGTGGGATCAGGGCATCGGTTTGCACTTGCACAGATTGAGGGGAGGAGAGGCAGTCTCAGCCCAACACTCCCAAATTATCTTACTTGCTGCACCTAAGGCTTAAAAAAACAAAATAAAAGTAAAAAAAAAAAAAAAAAAAAAAAAAAAAAAAAAAAAAAAAAAAAAAGAAGAGATTTTATATATGCCACCTTGTCTCCAGCACCTCTGCCGGTGTCTCCCTGCATGTCTGAGCTGCACCCATGGGTGCAGGGCAGGCTCTGCTGTGGCCAGCCTGACCTTCCCGGTCCACCCATTCCTGTATCACATTCCTGCCCGCTAGTCAACATGGAAATGTTTTGAAAACGTCTTAGAAACCTGCTGGGCTGCCAAAACGGTTGAAAAATGAAGGCACGAGGGGAAACGCGGGGCTGCTTTCCAGGTCGGCTCGCCGGGTATCGCCTCTGTCTCCTGCGCTGCAGCTGCACAAATCATTTGCTTTTCAGCGGGATTTAAAACATCTGCTTCTTCCTTGGGCTTGTTCGAGCTGCTGTGGAGCTGGGAAATTGAGAATTGGGGTGAGGGAGGCTCTGGTTCTGGGTCCCCCGGGTGATAGGTGACCTGCGTGAAGGACAGAGATGAGTAAGGTGGGTTAGGGCTGACATCCTCCTTCCATCTCCCTCGTGCACTAATGAGAGGAGAAAATTGAGAAAAAGCAAAGGAAGGGAAAGGAAAGGTTTTTCCTTGTAGTGGGCTGTGAAACTGGGAAACTCCTGCTTGCTGGGACTTCAACCAGGCTCAGAAAAGGTCTGATGGGAAGAGGGCTCTCCAGGGGACACTTCCCCATTCCAAGGCAGCTTTTAGAAAAACATCTCCTCTGGCCTGCTGAAACATCCAGCACCGAGCTGCCAAGTAGATCTCACAGTTGGCCTGGCCATAATTAATCACCCCTGGAGATGAGGAAGGCGCCTGCCTCTTGTTTTAGAGTTGTTTGGCTTTATCTCGAGGAGGAAGAGCTGTGGGTGTTCGGACCTTAGAGGACCAGGCTGGGGGAGATGGCGCCAGGCAAGGGCTGCTGAGCAGCAGCGACCACCCCACGGGTCACAGCTCAGGCAAGGACAGCAACAACTCCCTGGACATCATCCACAGGTCCATCCATCACCTCTGGACATCATCCCTCCTCGGGAGGGTGAAGGATGTGGAGGATGAAACCAAGGTGCTGTGGTTGAGTGAACCCAAATTTTGCCCAAGACACGTTTCCAAATCCAAGAGAGATGGGCTGAACGCAGCACCAGGGCACTGCTGGGCAGCTTCACCAGCTGAGCCTCACTCACCAGCTCCTCCCAGGCATCTCCCTCCCTCTGGGCAAGCAGCAAGCCTGTCCTTCCTCCCTTATCAGCCCCAAATAGTTGTGATGTGATGTATTGTTTTCCCTCCTCAAACAAATTACATCAGAAGAAGGAAACAGGAATATTTTTTTTTGCTCTTTTCTGGCATGGTGATCCGTGAGCAAGATCTCTGCAGCACTGTGTCCATGCCAGTTCATATCCTCTTTATGCCTCCTTAGCCAGCTGCCACTTTCTGCTGTTGAATAATAGATGCCATTGGTGTCCTTCCCCTCCTCCATCAGGGGCTTCATGGTCCCCCCAGCCATATCCAGGGGGCCCAAGGACCCCCACATGAACTCGGATCCAGCTGGGGAAGGAGGATCTGGCTTTCACCCAGGGACACAGATGGGGAATACTCGGGGGAGCACCGGGGCTCGCTCGGCTCTGGCGGCAGTGGAAAACAACTGGGCCACCTGCACATGATCCGGTGGGGCTGTGCCTGTTCCTCCAGACCCCCAAATCTGAAGGTTTTTCACCCAAGTCCATGAGCCCCACCGGGATGGGTTGAACCTGGCCACTGCTTCCCTTGGGCAGCAGCCACCTGTGGGATAGGTGGCCCTCCACAGCTGTATTGTGCCAGGGCTCCGTGGGAACAGCAGTTCAAAGAACACACAGCAGGATGCAAACCTCGAGCAAACCTTCTGCCGTGTCCTCCTGGGTCCAGCAATGATGAAAAGTCCCAACATCCCAGTCCTGGCATCAGTCCCAGTCCTAGCACCCAAGGAAGTCAGTCCGGTCTCAGTCCCAGCTCCAATCCCATCCATGGTCCTATTCCCGGGACAGAGAGGTGGGAGGAGTCCTGTCCTTGTCCTAACTGCGGCCCCATCCCCGGGGGAGGATTTGGGGAGC